GCTGCTCCACTGGTTAATTATTCTCACCATTAGGAAATTTCTCCTTGGTTATAAGTTGCTTCTCTCTTTGATTTAATTTCCATGGATTGTTTCTTGTCTTGCCTTTTGGTACTTTGGAGAACTGATTGTCATCCCCCCCCCCCCCTTCGTTGTGGCAGTCCCTCAAATATTGGAACATTGCCACCATTTCATCCCAGTACTTCTTTCCGCTAGGCCAGACCTACCCAGTTCTCTATATGTTTTAGCCTCCAGTCACCTAAATCATTTTTCTTGCTCTTCTCTGCATCTCTTTCTAGAGTCTCAACATCTTTCTTTATAACACGGAGAGCGAAACGGGATGCAATATTTCAAATGCAGGGTTACCAAAGCATTATTAAACAGCACTCAAATGTCTCTTGATCCTTGCCTTTGTAACCTGGGAATAGCTGCAATTTGCTATTTATTGAGAGGAGGAGCCTGACTTATTATTAGCTTAAGATCTTATGCTTCAGCCCAGTTTAGCTGAACTCTCTTCTCTAGGAGGACCTGGGAGAAAAGCCGCCACATAGCACAATCCAGCAGGAGTTCCTCTGCATGGACCGTGCCTTAATCCAGTGTTGTTGTGCATGAACACAAGGGGGTGCTTTTGTGTGTACTCCCTAATAATTTTATCCAAATACGGAGGAGGACATTTTCTGCTGCGTCCATAAAAGTTAAATCCCAACAACCCTTTCTTACTGCTGCCGCAGAAAACTACATCTGAAAAGGAGCCCTTAAAAAGAACGATTATGTTCTTGACAGGCTGAAGTGTCTTGATCATCGATCCTGACGGAAATAAAAGAAACTTCTTTGTTCTTTAATAAGCCTCCTCTCTGCTAGAATACTTTAAAGGAAAAAGTACTTTGCCAAATGAAATGTACGCTGATCTTGTCATCGCTCGCAACTCGCCGTTTTGTGAACATGAAACAGAGGCAGGCTGTCAGTGACTTCAAAAACAGTCATTCCTTATGCAGATGGCTTTTGGGAATGAAAGCCAATTAATTGCCCCATTAGATGACAGCATCAACTCAAGCCATTGTTGCAGGGCATTTGCGGAATCAGCTCCAAGTGAGGATAGCTGAGGAAATAAATGACCACAAAGCAAGGAAACGGGACGCGTGCCCTACAAACCGAATTTAAATATCAGATCTGTAATAAGGACAGACAATGCGATCTTTGTATCGGAAGCGCAATATGAAAATTACTCTGACTCTTCAGGATAAGCTGCAGAGATTTTTTTTTTTTTTAATATAAAAGTCTATTTCACTGCAGGCCACATATGTGGCACATATCCACAACACACAAGAGGTCCTCCTAGGTCATAGAGTGTATGCAACTCTATGGGAACCCTTCTTAATGCTAGAGACCATTCTGGCTCTGTTTAGGGGCAAAGGTTTCCTTCTTCTTGGCAAGATACACCAAAGGGCCTCTCATTTTCAGGGTTTCTGCTTCATTTGTCCCTTCCTGACTCTGCTCTTTTCCTGATTGCTGCTCCTTTCCTTTGGCTAAAGGCCCTGCCTTTATCTTTGCCAAATTCAGCACACCTCTCATCCTTCCCTTCCGCTGGGAAAGCCATCATGCCCCATTTTCCAGCAAGGGACTGAGCACGGAAACTATGGAACGATAATTAGCTCAGATCTGAAGCAAAGTCTGCATTAACAAATAATATTCCAAGGAACGTTCTTATGATCATTTAGAAAGGTCTACGCAGCACTTATAATTTTTATCCTGTTACTGGCAAATGCTTACCTGAGGTATCCTAGTGTTCCCCGTTTACAGAAAGTTGTTAACTTATTTAACAGACAGAAAGTTGGTAACTCTTTACATTAATATTTATATATCTCCCACCTTCATTATTTTTATAAATAATACAGGCAGCAGACATACCACTATTCTTTTCTCCTCCTATTTTCTCTACAACAGCAACCCTATCAAGTGGGCTGTGAGAGAGAAGCCACCCAGCCAGCTTTCATACCCAAGGCACGTTATCAGCTTGGAAGCCATTTTTCTTTGAAGCTTCTGGGCTGCCACATTCAGTGCCTGGGAATTTGGGACACGGGACTTCAAGGAGCTTTGGAAGATTAGCCACAACAACATTCCTTTCTCAGAGAGTCAAGGACATGTTACCCTGCACCTGGAGGGAAGTGACTGGGGATAGTCTCCAGTTGGAAAGAAGTAATGAGTGGACCGTGTGATGGACTATGGGGTGCAGGGTTGGATTTTGGATTCTCTTTGGGCTAAGGAAAACCTGGAAATCTCAGATTCGGGTTTTCCTCAGATGTGCCAATATGACATCTCTAATAAAATGGACCTTTGAGAAGACGACAGTCTCAGAGTCTTTTAATTCGGAGGTTGTTACTTGGAACGCTGACAGCAAGACTAGAACTCATGGTCTTCTGGTGACTGGCCCAAAGTCACCCAGCCAGCTTTGGCGGAACCAGAACTCGAAGCTCCCAACTTCTAGCCTGGCACCTTCACCACTAGACCCAAACTTGCTTAGATTTTCCTGCTGAACCTATAACTGGACCAACGTTTTGAGAACCTTCCGTGCCGCACCTGTTCAAATGGTGTGCCTGACAGCTCAGGTTGCAACCCAAACACTAACGCTTTGGCTCAATCGCACTTGGGGGAAAAAATTATTTGTTCTCCTAAAACGCAGCGCTGTGCGCAGAAGAGGTGACAGAGAGAGACGTACGCCGCAGCGCATGCAAAATTTGGCTTAGTGGATGTCAAGAAATCCACACCGAAGTAGGTCGCCTAACAGGTGAGGTTAGTGCTGGATTCACCAGGCTGCACAAACCTTGCTGAAAATTACTCAACTCAATCGCCCGCAAGTATTCCCACCTTTCCCCGTTTACTTCTGTTAATTACTATGCAAAAATCACTTCTGAGGCTGTGCCTTAATAAAGCACAAGTGTGCTTTCCCCCCACCCCCCTGCACCCCCGCTCTTACCTATGGCTTGGAAGGGAGTCTGGGATGGCCGCACTGCTATTGTTAGCAGACCCTGCTCGTGTATTTACCTGCGGGGAGAAAAAGAATCTTTATCCGTAGTTTTTATTCAGGGGACGTGGTTCTAATTAACCTGTAATTTGCCATGAATTTCCTATTTCACGAGGAAGGTTAATTAGCTAGTTGCCCATGGTAGAAACCCAGCCTGTATGTAGGTTACCACATTGTGTTGTAGAGGAACCGCGTTCTTTTATTCAGCCTGCATTTGAAATGCTTGGTTAGGTAATGCAATCAGGAGCTGGCACACAATACGGCTTTCATTCCGTCTCTATTAAATACACCTCTTCCTTCCCTCCCCAGCCCATCACCTTTTTTGCACAAATATATCAATTACCTCTCTGTAATGTCACTGAAAAGATGGAGGCATGTCCTGTGCACCGTACGGAATTCCTTATTCAACCCATTAACCACAACAACAGTGCCCATAGGAGGGTCCCTTGAAGGAAAGGTAACCCTAATCTCACAGCTGCTCTTACGCGGGTCGACATCTCAGTTCGTGCCATCTTTTGTCTTTGTTTAGGGGTAATTTGGGTGGTCCAAGAGGAGCGTTTCTGCAGATCTGTCGCATCAAAAGGGGAACGCAGGGCCACCTATTGCCCCAGCGTCTTCAAGGCTGATCTAAGAAACGCATTCACAAAACCCAGGAAGGAAGGAAACAATGCCTCTTCCAGGCGCAAGACAGACCAGCTGGGCTCGCACCCAGGAAGGATCTGTCCTCTGCTGCAGTTTGTTCAAAAAAATAAAAAAAAACAATCTGCTTGTCAAGGCTGAGAAAGTACAGTTTTATCTGACATTTCAATAAATGGAACACAGCATTGCAAATTCATCTACGTTTACGGAAACAATTATTGAAATTCCTACCTTCAGGCCATGTATGTTCCTTTTCCCAGGAGGCTTGCAAGCTGAAACAGTAATTGACTAAATTGTAGAATACATCAACACCATTTACAAATTTGTTCAAAATGAAATCTTTTCTTTTTGTAATGAGGGCGATACAGAAATTAGTGGAGAGAAATGATCGAAAGGCATCTCCCAGGACTCTTAAAGCCGAGATGATAAAATGAGATCTCTTGGACCTGTAGGAGCATATATTTTTTAAACAAACAGAGCAAAGCCTCAACTTATTTATATCTTAAACGATATTAAAATGAAAGCCACAGAGAGAATCTCCTGCTCCAACTTTCAGTAACTGCACTATATGTGGGTGTGGGTGTTTTTCTTTTGCCCACTTCTTTTTTACAATATTTCATCTTCACATGTTTTCTGGTGACACTATATCAGGGTGGGCAGGTTAAGACATCTGCTGGAAGTTGGGTGCTTAAAACAGGAGAGCACCCCAAAGAAAAATGACCTGCATTCTGTGTTACCACACACAATCTTCCCTGGCTTTTATGTGGGAAAAGAGAAGCTGGACATTTAAAAGCAGCATTGAGGACATCAGGAATCAGATCCAGGATAAATTTAGATGCTCTTCCTAGCTGTGCGCACAGATCTATTGTCAGGCTGTTGTCACAGGCTTCAAGATGAACTGGAGCAAGAGGGAGAATTACATTTCCTTAACGCCCCTGGAATTTCGCTGCCCCTTTCCAACCCAATGAAGCCACAAAGGCTTGCAGCTTTGTGTTACAGACAGTTCCCATTTTAAAACTACAGCACCCTACAAATAGTATGTTAAAGGGCCTGTCAATTTTGATTGATTGTCTGGGAAAGGATGGATTTGATTCCCCCCACCTTTCTCTCCCCCCTCTTCTTGTGAAATACATGCATTTCACTCATGGTTATGACAGCAGGAAACAGAGCCATTTATTAGTCAAGAGGACACAGATGATAGTTATTAAACACAGCAGTTAGGACAGGCCCCGTGCAATTTAAACTACATTAAACATTGCCAGCATATCCTTAAATAAGAGACGCCGAGCTGCTGGTGTGTGCACAGAAGGAACGAAAAGAGTGGGAATGAAAAACAGGAATATCATCTGGTGGGAAATAGAAAATAAAAACAATAAGCTATTCCTAATTCGGGGCAAGGAGGCAGGGTGATGGCTCAGTGGTTAAGACTCTGGGCATGTCAGCTGGAAAGCCGGCAGCCCAGGTTTGAGAACTGAGCTCCCTACGACGGGGTGAGTTTCCGTCCTCTTGTCAGCTCCTGCCTACCCCAGCAATTTGAAAGCAGGAAAATGCGAGTAGATAAATAGATAACACTGGGAAGGTAACTGTGCTCCATGACATCATGCTGGTCACATGACCGTGGGAATGTCTTCGGGCAGCACTGGCTCGAGAGTACTTGAAACAGGGATGAGCACTGTTCCCTTTAGTCAGCAACGACTAGTGGGGTAAAATTTGTGGGGTCTCCCCTTATTTGGGGCGAGGGTAGCAGAAATATTTCTTTGGGTATATGAATGAAAGGGGATCGATCTATAGTGGCTACAAGCATAAAGGAATTAAGCCACAAATAGAAGATACAAAGTTCCAAGCAATGCAAAATGAGCTGTCTTTTTGAAATGCAGCGTGCTAAATTAAATAGAATAAAAATTAGAGCAATCAATTGCTTAAATTAGGATCAAATTACGTGAGCGATCAGATTTATCTACGGCAGTGTTTCTCAACCTTGGCCTCTTTAAATGTGTGGACTTCAACTCCCAGAATTTCCTTACTTGTTGATATTCACCCATCTTAAAGTGGGCAAGGCTGAGAAACATTCATCTATGCAACTGACCACCTATATATCAAGCTCTGCCTCAACAATCCCTGCAAATGTTTATTTATTTATTTACTCGTTTATAAAATTTATCGGCCGCCCATCTTACCATAATGTTAATTCTGGGCAGCTTACAGGCATAAAAATACGCCTACGTTAAAACAACCAATTAAAACCAAGATTAACATCTAGGACATGTGGTGAGGGAGGGGATGGAATGGGTGGAGATGGGATCTGTTGTTACTCGATCACCCACCTCCATGGGGGCGCCAGCAGCGTTGCTGTTAAGATTTACTGGTTGGCACACTCTTGTGATCAACGTCTGCTCAGTGGTGACCCCCAAAACCTCCGGAATCCTGTTCTGTTCAGGTGTTTGTGTAAAAGCTGAAGACCTTCCTTTCTGTGCCACGTGTCCTCTAACACACTTGCATGCGTGAAAGCCCTTCCCCAATCTGTGCATCATGCACTGGATAATGTGCCGATTAGAGCTCTGTGTCTTCCCTTCCCTTCCCTTCTTCGTTGCTTCGGGGAAAGTGTAGCCTTAAAAAAGAGATGATGATGATTAACTGCAATACAGGAGGTCCTTGACCGCAATTGAACCCAAAAACTCTGTTGCTAAGCCAGGGAGTTGTTAAGTTAGCTTTGCACCATTTTGCGACCTTTCTTGCCACGGCTGTTGACTGCAACCGTCATAAATGCATGTCAGTTGCCAAGTGTCCAGATCACATGACCAGGAGGCCACTGCAATGGTCTTAAGTGTATTTAGGCCAAACTGGCAACTTTTTCAGCAGGTTGTGGGAATGCAATGGACATAATAAAACATCTTGTCTTCAACAAAGCATCTGACAAAGTGCCCCATAGTATGCCGATTAGCAAACAGATTCAGCATGGCAGGACAATTGGGTAGATAAGTAGCAGGCATGAAAATCATGCTTATCCACGGTTCCCCTTGAAATTGGAGATGCCACTGAGTACAGCACTGCAACCGTCTCTATTTTTCAACAATTCCATTAATGGTTCGGATGAAGAACGGATGCTTCTCATCTATTTACAGGTATAACAAAACTGGGTGGGACAGCCTAATGTTTTAATGTTTTATATTTCAGTTTTTATGATGTTCTATCTAAGCCACCCAGTCGCTCGACGGTGAGGTGGGCTGAATATAAAGTCAGTCAATCAGTCAAACAGCTAATACCCTAGAAGGCAGAAATAAAATTTAAAACAATCTTACTAGATAAGAAAATGAAGAGGGGGAAAAATATAATAAAATGAAAAGCAATAAAGATAAACGCAAACTTTGCTTAAGAAACATGAATTGAACATCAGGATGTAGGATGGGGATAGTTGGATTAATAATAACAAAAGTGAAAAGGATTTTGAAACTGTAGCTGACTGCAAGGTGAGGCAGAGTCAGCAGTGGGATATGGATGGTAAAAAGGCAGATTGTAATTTGAGGCTGCATCAACAGAAGAAGAGTCGCAATGCATGGAGAGTGGAGATCCACTTTCTATGGAGATCCTCCGTCATCCAGGTCATGATGTCCCAAAAGTGATTTTTCAAAAGGCAACAGGACTTACTTTGTTTGTTTTTTCCTGAAGACCTTTTGCTTCTCATCTGAGAGAGCACAGATAGGTGGGCCTCAATAACTCTCACAAAGAGAGCTAACAACCAGATGACTGCAAGGAATGTAAAGTCTTCCATTCTCCACCATTCAGTTAGAGTTGAAGAAGCTTCTTGGATGGGAAGTGAAATGTCTTCAAGGAAAAAACAAAGGAAGTCCAGTTGCCTTTTGAAAAAAGCACCTTTGGGATGGAAAGTCATAGTGTCAGGTCCCATTCAGAGAAATTGGTCTGGTTCAGAGAACGTCCAAGGGCCTGGAAGTTAAGAGACGAAAGGAACTGGGCAGAGGAAGAGAAGTAAAGAGGGGATATGGTGCACTTCTGCCTATAATGGCTGAAACATATTCTTTATGGTCTAGAGGGCAAGACATGTAGTTAGTAGGTTCATCTTATAGGAAGGCAGATCCTAACAGGCTTTTTGGAAAATCTTCCTAATAGTCAGCCTCCAAGGTTTTTTCTTCTACTTGACTCTTTCCAGCTGCCACAGAAATGGGGGGAATAATTGGGCTTCATGGGGGGGAAGAGTGCTGGAGGTTGAAGTTGTGTGAACTGTAAAAGTTGGGGTGCTTTCCTGCTTACTGCGCAAATGCAACCACTTATCTTTTCTAGGCCAAGGTCAACCGTCTTGGCACACCAGATGTGTGAGACGCCACCTGAAGATGTACCCACATCACATTATACACACCTCAGATTGGATGTCCGGTTTGAATTGTTGGGAGTGGGGACTTGGGATAACTTTCCTAATGTGATTTTTGCGCCTTTTGCTTCAGATCTTGTATTTCTCCTGTTGCTACCGCTTTATATTCAGTAAAAGTCCTTTTCTCTATAAAAAATGGAGTCCAAGGCTTTCTTTCTTGGATTTGGAATGGAGCCACACCTGACACTTAATAGGGAGGGCAGTATGAGGGTTTGGTGGGGGAGGGGAGGCAGAAGATAATCTGCACTTTACTGGGGACATCTGGATTTCTAGAAGGTCCAGAGCGTTTGACTTGACCTTCTCCATAGTCCTTCCAAATCTGTGTTTAAGAAAAAGATTGGGGCAGTCTGAGGAAACAGCAACCTTGTGTGCACATGTGACCAAGAAATGTTTGTATGCAAGAGGGAAAGGGATGCTGACCTATTTCTCTTCTAAATGCCTCCTTTTTCACAGAGGAGAATTCCATCTTCAAACTGCTGCCCTCTTTCTAACCCTGATCAGTTTTGCTATGGAAACCTGTTGGTTAATTGCCCAATTTAAAACGGAGAGAGTTATAAGTAATGAAAAGTCTATAACGTTTTAATTGGAAAGCTTGCAGCATGATCATTTATGCAGGGGAACAGTTTAGTTTTGAGGTATTTCAACTGATTTATTGCATGGAAATCTACTTGCGTCTAATTTCAACCATCAAAAATTATGCTTCTGAAGAAAATATCTAAGTGCACGGAGAAAGTTGCATAACATGCAAACATATGTATGGAAAAATGATATTATCTCCAGGTTTTACAATACTCCCATTTTTGCAATAATGGTCTCAAAAATACACACACACCCCACCCAACTAGAGTTTGGAGACTATCCGTGGCTTGGGCTTATCCCCTTGGGGGAGGCCTGTGACTACAGCTACACTTTACTTTTAAACTTCCACCTGTTGTGTGGTGCAAACAATAATTTTTGTTATTCTGGTTTGCTTTGGAAAAGAGCTGCAGCTACACTCAAAGAATAGATTTCTCAACCCCAACTTAAGACCAAACTGTGGAATTATCTGCCTTTGAACCTGCCTAGAAGATAGAAGACCTGATGGAACATTGGTAGGTGTTGAAAGCTGTGCAAAATTACCTCTTGGGTAGATCTGCAGGGGTACAATCAGCTGTCCATTTCCCTGCTGCTCCATTACAGTTGTGTAATACTGAAAAAAATAGATAAGAATGGCAAGTAAGTTTGTGTATTTTGTTCAATTCACCAATTCCAGAGTAGTGGTATTAGAGGCAAAACAATGAACATAGGCTTGAAAAAGTGGCTTTTAAACGTTTATCTGCTGTTGGACACTCTCACCAGATCTTACCTGCAGATCATATGCCGGCATGCACACCCATATATCATAACTTTCACTTCCCTTCCTCTGTATTTGTCTACCTTCAAAAGAGTTACCAATATGGCGACTTGGCCCCAAAATAGCAAACTCTGGACTCCAGGTAGCTTTCTTCTGTGGTTGTTGCAGCTCTCAAAGATCTCTGCTCAGCCAGGCTTTTAATGCTACGCAGGTACTTCCAATCGGGCTTCCCTCCGCCCAGTCCAAGGCAAAAAAGAGATTTGTTCTGAGTTGCCCTGAACAACCCGATTGGCTTTGGTTACGGCAACAAATGCTTTCCACTCAATAAAGAGCACCGAAATCAGACTCAGACCATCGGTTATAAGATGATGCGCCCTTTGGGTGGACCCTTCCATATCCCAACAGAAATGTAGAAATGCACATCCAACCATCTTTGACCTTTGGCCCCACTTAAAGAGTCAACAGCAAGTACTTCTGAAAATGTGAGCCGGTAAATACTATCCAGGACACTGCTAAGCCAAGATTAACTTGAGATAAAGCTGTGGGGGGGCGGGGGGGGGGGCGGCAATTAGGTCAGGAAGACCTAAACAGGGAGACTGACAAAAAGAAAAAAGAATGGAACCCAAAGTGAAGTGTAGACATGGTTAGGGAACATCTGGCTCTTGAGTTGCCTCTAGGGGGAAATGAGTCATAGGAATAGGCTAAAATACGACTTGGTATCGACCACCTAAGTCTTCTTGAGCTCCTGGATGTCATCTTGTGGCTGGTACGGATCGTCCTTCCATGCCTTGGGAGAGGATTTTGCTGCACCCCATTAGTTCATGGTCTTTGGGGCAACCAGGGGCCTCTCCCATGTAAACTTGGCCCTAACATATAGTGCAGATACATAGTTGACTCAATCTTCATTTTGGAGATTGAGGACACTGGTCTCTGTGCATGTATAGATAGAATAGAATAGAATAGGAATTCTTTATTGGCCAAGGGTGATTGGACACACAAGGAATTTGCCTTCGGTGCAAATGGGTAAAGATGGGTATGAGAAATAGGGGTAAAGATGCCAATCCCAAATCACTATGATGACATTATACAATTTTATACAAATATGATGCCGCAAAATAGGCCAAAGCGAAAGCAAGATTCCCACCAATCATCTACAGAAACAATGTGAACGAGTCACGTAGAAAGCAGTCCAGTTTGGGGCTAGTTCTAGATCACCCATGGAGAACAATTCCTAATGGTAAAAAATCTCCATGAGACAGACTGGAACATCCTGCTGGAAAATACTGTGGAATTCTGGTAGTTTCCTGGAAGACTGGGCTGCAGTCCATTTGCACGGGCCCTAGAGATGAAGCCCAGCTGGTTGCAAAACTTATTAACGGAATATTTGTCTAGACAAAACGTGTGATTGACCTGATTAGTTATTGTCAAAGGTTCTTTAACTGCATCTAAAGCAGGTCTGTCCGACTTTTGGCAACTTTTAAGTTTGTGGACTTCAACTCCTAGAAATTCCCCAGCCAGCATGACTGCCTAGGGAATTCTGGGAGTTGAAGTCCCTAAGTCTTAAAATGGCCAAGGTTGGACGTCTCTGATCTAAAGACAAGAGAATGTAGAACTAAATGAACTTTCAGCTTGAACTTGCAAGACAACCCTTCCATCTAAATCAGGCAAAAAACTCTGTGGTTTGACCCCACTGAGCCCCCCGGCATCTCTCACTCTGCAGAACTCTGCTTGTCTTCTCCTCCAGCATCAGCCTGGAGGCACAAAAAAGAGCTGAAAACATGACATCGAAGCCAGAATTTCAGCTTCAGAAAGCAGATTCTTATACGACTCTTCACTTTCCTGGGACTGACTCCAGAGAGGCTCTGGGTAGATTTCGCTCTTTGTTTCTTTAAAATAATAATAATAAAAAAAGAATGGCCTTCTCCATTACTCAAACGGAGATGACAAGTAAATGAAATATCAATCATGTCAGCTGTCAACCTTCTGGGACAGCAATAACTGTTAACAAGTAGTCTGGAAAAATGGTCCAAAAATGATTTGTCCTCCACATCTCAGCACTTGGGGTTGCCATGGAAAGTTAAGATGCCAGGGGCTATTTGGAACACTCTTCAGGTATTCTTTTTAATGGAAAATTTGCCAGTTATTGATCCAAAACGTGTACCCTTTGCTTCCAGATGGCTGCGAGCAACTTTCCAATCAGTGGCTGTCAAAAAAATTACTGCCTTTTTATACCTATAGAAGACAACAACTGTAAACTAGCTCTGGGGTCACTCAGTGGCTCCTTTTTAATTAACCAAGAGTTAGACAGCGAAGCCATTTGGATTATTTTTCTATGAATAAAATGTGCAATTAATAAACCCCAGTGTCCATCTCATCAAGTTAAGTGTTTAGTGCCGTGGTGCGAGCGGGAAAGTTTAGAAGTAACTCAAGGGAGAGAAGGTTTCAGTGGAAATAACCATCTCTGACGACAGAGGGATTCCAGAATGACAACCTATCATTCATGTTTTGATTAAAAACTGACCTTACATTTCATCTTTATAGTAATTTGCATCAATGATAACACAGCAACTTTCTAGGAATTATTTCATTCAGGTCTGAAAACTCTTTAAGGAAACATATATTTCTTCCTAATTCAGATTACAACTTCTGAAAATGCATTCTGGTTTCATGCCACCTATAATTGATCCCCTATGAAAACGGAGAGCCAGTTTGGTCTAGTGATTAAGGCATCAGGCTAGAAAGCAGGAGATCGTGAATTACATCTTTTGCAGCAGCCGTTAAGTGAATACAGTGGTTGATCAGAACAGGTAACAGTGAAATGGTCTCCGTGAAGGATCTGGTCCATCCATGCCTCAGTTCAGAAGGAGGAGAGTCCTATCACTCTGCTTTACAGTGAGTTCTCACTTCATGACTGGTTGCTTAGCGAATGTTCAGAGTTATGTTGGTCCACCCTCCCCAAAAATGTATATACGTCATGGACTTGAAGTTATGACATCCAGCCCCATGGTCACACAATTGCATTTTAGGTGCTTGGCAACTGGTCCACATTTAAGGCTTTTCACAATGTTCCAAAATCACCCAACCACAAAGGTTTTTCCACTTTCCAGCAAAAAAAAAGTGCACAATAGCTTTGGTTAATGACTGTGTTGTCTGCTTAATGATCTCCACCAAACTGCCTTCAAATCAGGTCAGTCACATGGTGACTCACTTTATGACCGGCTCGACTTATGATCGTAATTCCAGGCTCAATTAGGTTGTAAGTCAAGTCTACCTATAACTGCAAAGAAATGGGAATGTCTCAACTCATACATATTTATAAAGCGTAAAGGGCGAGCCATTTATAAAGATATACATAAGCACTGCAGCCTTCCTCTCTTTGCTGTCGTTATTAAAAGACAAGACACTTTAAAATCTTCTCAGCACGCCAAGCCTGCAGCTAAAATATAACTCTTCTGAGAGAAGGGGTGAAGAAGTATCCAGATGAAAGCAGATTTTGTTTTTAAATTTTTTTTTTAAAGAGCCGAAGGGTTCGTTTTTAATGAGCCGTTACTTTAAGTAATGCATAAAAAATAGAAATTGATAGTCCATTTAGCCTGCACTATATCTAATGCAAAAGTCTTTGGGATATGTTATTCTTAATGCTCACAACAAGATCTGTAAGTATATTATTCTTCATATGGTTATTCTTTATAACCATTCTTCATATGGTTTTCCAACAAAAGACGGAAATTTCATACAAAATCTCAGCCCCAACTTGTTCAACTAAGATGATAAAAATATTTAAAAAAACACCAAAAAAATATATACTACAACAACAAACCAAATTCTAATGTTGGTGTCTTAATTTGGTGCTCTCACTAAAAAACAAAGTTATATGGGAGCAACAGTAACTTGAACACTGCAGGATTCTGCACAATCACCCTTGGTGCACAGTCCTCTAGCTGTCTCATTCTGCAACGGGACAACTTGCTGTGGCCAACTCACTACGGGAAATTCAATAATTCAATTTTAAAAATGTGTCATTCATATCTCATTCAGTCCTTCCTTTTGCATCCGTTCTTTACTGATTCTACTCCGCCGTTTCTTGATATTAGTGTAACTCTTGTCCTGCGGTGAGAGGGCCGTGTCAAGTTGTCCAAGAGTCTCTTTTCATTCAACTCAGCCTTTTGAGTGATGCTGGCTAGCAATCGGTAACTTAGTTAATCCGGTTTATTGAACATATATACCTACATAGGACAACATTGCTTTCATTTCTTCATCGCTGCGGACAGTAATCCGATCGCCGTCTTCATCTTCATCTGCATAAAATCAAAGTCTGTGTATTAAAATTTACCAGGTTTAAAGAAAGACCACATATTCGATAGATGTCGAGGAAACTTTTGAAACGTGAACAAATGAGAGCCAAAGAAGATGAACACAGACTGGTTTTGCCTTAGTTTTAAGGAAGGGGGACTAGCTGGGCAGGTGGGAAGAGAGAGAACAAAGCATGGAACTGAAAAGTCGTGTGAACCGGTCTAGGGTGACTTCAGATCCTCTCCATGGACCTCAGCTTTGGGGCCAGGTCACACTATGGAAATTATCTGATGATATAATGAGGAGGGGGATTCACAACTTCTGCACAAACTGCATTGGGTGCCAGGTTGCTTCTGGATCTAATTCCAAGCATTGGTTCTGATCACCTGTTCTGATCAAGGCTTCCTGAGACCGTAATTAAGCAGATGCTTAGTTCAAACAACCCTCTTTTTATTTCAAAGGCTGGGAATTATGTTCAATCCCAGCCCGTAATGAGTCCCAAACAGTCCCTCGAGATAAGCACCCACCTTTATCTCCTTTGAATTGCTGCCAACAACTAAAGGGCCAAATGAACTGTAAAAAACCCAACCAAAGTACAAAGTCCACACAGAGCTTCAAGGATTAATCTGAACAGAACAAACGACTTTGCTTCCTGCAAAGATTTCTCTACCTTTGCACTTCCTTTATCCCTTATGGGAGGGGCAGTCACCTCCCAGCCTTACTCCTGAGTCTCCCCTTTTGTCTTAGCTGCTCTTGCCTTCTGGCAGCTCTGTGCACACACGCACTGGGAACAGGCTCCCGCTGTTCCTCTGCCTCGCTGCTGCCAGACTCTGGAGGCTCTGGAGGCAGCACCCCACTCCCAGATGGCCCTGGCCCCATCTCTCCATTGATCACAGGACCCGCGTCCGAGTCCTCCCCAGACTCCCGGACTGATCCCTGTTCTTCCCCACTGTCCGATTCCGCTGCCGTCTGCACAGGCTGCCGTCAAACCACAACATCACCTTTAAAACCCTACCTATGGAACCGTCTTCGTTCCATTACACTGGCCCATCCCAGAGGGTCAGAGAGGGAAGGTATGTTGCAAACCCCATCAATTCTGACTGGCAGGTCTAAGAAGAGAATCTTCTCTGCCATTGCCCCTTCCTCCCTGGAACACTGTCTGTCCATCTCCCAGGAGCGAGGTGAGCCCCTAATTTCCTGGTCCTAGCCTGAACACCTGGCTCTCCCATCTCACTTGGGGCCCACAGAGGAACAGGCAGCCCTGGGGCCAGCTAACCCTCTGAAGCCCTTCCTTTGCTTTTTACATTTTTATTTTATTCTCTTTAACTGCCTATTATAATGTTTATATGTAGCTCTTATATTTTGATGCCTACTTGTATGCTGCCCAGAATCACCCTATGAGAGAGGTTGGCAGTTTCTACATGTGATAAACAAACAAAGTAAGTAAGTGCAGGCTATGCCCCTCCCTGGCCCTGGTGCAGGCATCTTGCACTATCCAAATTTAGCTTATGCTCCTTAAGGGTTTACGTTACTCTCTAAAGTCGATCCACACAGAGGGTGGCATAAGGACACCACCGCTGTAGGTAGAAGATCTCCTAGGGCAGGGGTGTCAAACTCAAGGCCCGCAGGTCGGATCCAATCCGCTGACTGCTTAGAACTGGTCCACGGGGCCTCACTGGAAACAGTGAAGGACTGGCCTGTGGTGTCTCTGCTAGCGAAAACAGGTTCCTGAGCTCCATTTCCGGCTGCAATGGCCTCTGCAGAGGTTTGCAGGAGGCCGTCGCAGCCGGAAATGGAGCTCGGGAGCCTGTTTTCACTGGCAGAGGGTTGCAGGAGGCCGTCGCAGCCGGAAATGGAGCTCGGGAGCCTGTTTTCA